CCACCACAGCAGCTCTCAGCAGCCATGAGCCCTGCATCTGGCACCCTCCCAAGGGCAGTGGCCTGCGGGATCGGGCCAAAGCCAGCTCTCTGACATCCTCCGAGGGGTCCCGGATTATGAGAGGGCACAGGCCAGGCCAAGGGACGCAACCAGTTCACCATTAGGTCTGGGGAGGGACAGAGGAAGTTAGCCAGCTGGGGAGGGACCATGGGAGGGTTCCGTGGTGTTTTCAGCCCGTCTCACTCAGTCCCGATCAGCCAGACCCCAGCAGCAAGCTAACCTACCAGTCTGAATGTCTTGTTCCTGGTGGTCAAAGCATGTCATAGTGAGCAGTTGAACAACTTTAGTATATCATTTTCATATTATGCTTTCATCGGTTGAACAGATGACTGGTCAACTGGACTCTCAGCATATTAGGCTTTTATTATATAGGATTGATTTCATACAGGAAGGGAGCGAGAAACATCAATGATGAGAGAGAATCATACATCGGGTGCCTCATGCATGCCCCCTAATGTGGATCGAGCCCAAAACCAGAGCATGTGCCCTTGAGCAGAATCGTACGGGGGACCTTCCAGAGTCCACAGTCCAACCCTCTATCCACTGAGTCAAACAAGCTAGAGCTCATTGGTTAAACCTTGTCTTCGCCAGGACCATGAATTGAACCTTGACCTCCAGGTTCATGGGTCGTCCCTAAACCACTGAGAAACACCACCTTGGCTCAAAATTCTTTTATTGATTTGAGAGAGAGGGAGAGAGACAGAGAGTGAGAGAGAAAACATGAGACAGAGAGAGAGAGAAAGGAGAAGATGAAGAACAAGAACAAGAAGGAGAAGAAGAAGAAGAACTAGAAGAAAAAGTAGAAGAAGAAGATGAACAAGAACAAGAACAACAGGAAGAATAAGAACAAGAAGATAGAGAGAGAGAGAGGGAGGGAGAGAGAGAGAGAGAGAGAGAGACATCAATGTGTCCTCGCACCCACGGCTTGGTAGATAGAACAACAGAGCTTAGCAAAATGGTGAACAGAACTATACACGTCCCACCGGCAGGCCAGTAGGACTGGGGCTCAGGTTGACAAGAGCCAGGGACCCCATCACATGTCCTACGAGTCGTCCATCAGTTCAAGGATCATTTCCTCCATGTCATCCTCCTTGATGTGGTGCACAATGCGCCAGAACCGGCCCATGGAGTCCAGGTACTGGCTATCAGGTTGGAGCGTCCACATCAAAGGCATGATGATCGATGTCAGCGGGCTGGTGGTGAATGTGTTATGACCACTGGGGATGTTCATCTGGCACAACCGTATTTGCTGGACACCTTCTGTCTCCATGATGAGATGGAGCCATGTGCGATGGTTGTCATCCTCATACAGCGAGGTCCCACGGATATCCAGGTAGATGGGGTGTGAGGTGAGGTGCACCTTTGACGGGAGCCTGGGCATGACCCTTCCGTGGTCCAAGGAGCAACAGTCACAGCCTCTCCGAGCCTCTCGCTACTTCGGTCCTCGAATCGAAAGACAGGGCATGGGGTATCCAAACGCATTTTACTTCAACTTTTACCTTTATGGTTTTTAACGTTGTGTTTGTGGCTGCCTTTGGTTCAAATTTATAAATCCAACATTTCTTTCTTTTTTAGCTTTAGATCTCTCTTCTTCAACAAACTGTACTAAACGTACTTAATGTAAAATATGACTCTATGAAGGTAACATGATCCTATGGAATTTTAAAAATATTTTTTAAATGACAGTTGACATAGCACATTAGGTTCATTTCAGTGGTAAACCACAATGATTAGACATTATATAATGGACTAAGAAATCATGCAATTAATCTCATACCCATCTGACACCATACACAGTTATTATAATATTACTAGAGTCTCAGTGCACAAAATTCATGCACTTGGGGTGGGGTCCCTCAGTCAGCCCTGTGGCCGCTCGCAGTCTGGGATCCCTTGAGGGATGTCCAGCTGACGGCTTAGGCACTCTTTAGCGATGCCCTGGAGGCTCCCACCAACCCCTGTGCTAGGCAGCTTAGAGCCTTGCTTTTGGATGAGCAGCGCTCCCCCTCTGGGAGTGCACTGACGGCTAGTGGACAGCACCTGTCATGAGCATCTGCCCCCCGTGGTCAGTGCGTGTCAGTGTCCAGTCATTCTGCCATTTTGTCGATTTTCATATTAGCCTTTATTATATAGAATTGACTCAATGCTCTATTTTACTGTGCCATGACTATTCTTTCTTTTTTTATTTAGTTTTCCTGATTTCAGAGAGAAAGGGAGAGGGAGAGAAAGAAAGATCAATGATGACAGAGAATCATGGATTGATTGCCTCCTGCATGCCCCCTACTGGGGTTCAAGACTGTAACCCAGGCATGTGCCATGACTGCGAATCGAATCCACATCTCCAGGTCCTTGGTTTAAACTGAACAACTGAGCCATGCCAGCCGGGCTCTTTTCTTTCCTTTTCTTTCCTTTTCTTTTTTTCTTAATTAAAACTTTGTGGTTGGTTCAACTCTTCTTTTTGTCCTGACACCACCACCTTCTTTCTGATCATCTCAGAGGGAACTCACAAACCATAGAACAACCAACCCCATGCAAATAGTATGTAAATAATATGCTTTACCTTTAACAGCTTGCTGAAAAACATAGCTAACGTCAGCGTCCAGGTGGGCTTCTTTACAGAGGTCTTGCTTCTCAGGTGCTGGTGAGAGAGGCAAGACCAAAATATTCAGGAACAGACTGATATCTGGGATAGCTGATTAGGCAAACAGGAAGCAAAGAGACAGGTGAAACATCAAGTAGGATATCTGAGGTCTCATGACATCACTTATAGAATGATCTCTCCCTTCCCCAAACCTCAGCCATGCTCTTGGCAAGAGCAGTATGGTTTTGCTGCTAAACTCACTTCAGTCCACAAAGTCCAAATTCCTCCCTCAGATCAGACTCCATCCCCAATCCTTCCTTCTCCTCCTCCCATCCATCTTTTTCTTGTCTGTTCTTATTGCTCTGAAGGCAAAGCACCATGGTAGCTCCT